GTTATCTATAGTTCTACTTGTTTATAGCTTTAACTATTGAATAAAATAAACCTATCATACTCGGTAAATAAACTACAACATTAAGTATTGAGAAAATTATTACTTGAAGGAGGTCCATTTTACTATCGAAGCCACATTCAAAATACACATGGCGCACCGATCCTTTGATAATCAACTCAGCGGTGAACATTGCCATTATTACCCATAATGCCTACACCACAATTAGATGAGTGATAACTTAGTAAGTTAATATATGCTTGATGTGAACATATGTAGATGAAATGCACATGAAAAAATCATTTTCATGTGTTTTCGAAAACCCTTTTCATGATCATTCTAAAAAACCTTTTTCCATGCTTGGACGCAACCTATCGAGTATTTAAAAGTACATATCTATATCCACTCGATCATCTTTCCTATGTAATTCTCCTATGGGGCCATCACCAATTCTCTCACGAGTCGACAAGAAATGCCATTTCCTTCTATTAGGGCTTGCCGTATATAAAGATTTTCTTTGGCGTTGGCCATTGTCGGCTTATAGATGAAGGAAATGTCATGGATCATGAAAATCACAAAAACCATGTATCATATAATCCATAAAAGATCATGAAATATCATGTGAACAATCAAATATTTCCCTAATGTTTTTTGGAAAATCATATAGGAAATTGTTTCATAACTTTAAATCTTTTCCACGAATTGGCATGCATATGTATTTTATTGGAAATGCATTATCATTATAATTTTATGAAATGCATACCATGAGTGAGAAGCATTTATGCCATGATAATGCATAATTTAATAACATAAAATGCACCATATACATTACCTCATTAAAATTCATCCAAACCATTATAAATAGTAACATCATTACACAACACAAGGCAATGCACTTCCATAATCATCAACATCACAATATCACCACCAAAATATGCCATAACAATCCACATTTCAACATATAATCGAATAACGGTATATATCCAAACTTTACGCAAACTTTCCCATAAACATGCATATTTATACATAATCATCCAAATTCACACTTCAAGCATACACATCACACTAAAATCATCGAGAGAACCATCAATTACACAATTATACATCAAATTGCATTGAAAACGCTAATTTGGGCCTAATGGGCCGAAAGCTCAACAAAAGTAAATTAGGAAAAATTTTCATTTTTAATAAAATATTACATACTAATTCATATTTTTTAGGATATTCTAATTTAGAATTACTCAATTAAATACTTTATAATAAAAAACACATAAACCCTAATTTCTTTCCTAATTGGACCGAATAAGGGCCTTATAAAATTAGATCTATTTTCTAACATTTTATGTAATTTTTCATTTCAATCATCAATTCAAGCATAAAAAACACATAATAAACCAATAAATCATCAAACAAACCAAAGTGTAGAAAACCCATAAATTTCCTATTTGGCCGAATGCCTTCTCTCTCTTAACCCTAGGAGATTTTGATTTTTCTTTATCAATTTTAAGCCCAATTATCATGATTTAATTTAAATTAAATGAAATGTTAGGTTAGAATATATTTTTTTTCAATTTACCCTAACTAAGAACCCTAACCCTAATTTTCATAATTATTTCAATTAAATTTAGATTGAAGCATCAAACACAAAATTGATAGGAAATTGAACTTTGTTATGGCGTAGATGAGATTGAATTACTCAAATAAGCTCCATTTAATTGTTAGAAAATTCTTTTTTTCCTCTTTTTTTCCCTAAATTCGGCCAAGCTCTTTTAAATTTCTTCTTGTGAATTTTGAACTTTGAACTTGAAATTAGGGTCTAATTAACTTATTTAGGATGTCTAAGATTGGTTGGAAGTGTTTTGGGTGAAATTTGATTGGAAATTTGGCAAGAGTTTGCCTTGTATTTCTCTAATTTTCTTTTCATTTTTCATTTTTTAGCACTCCTATTTATAGGCAATTTTGGTGGACTTATTGAATTAATCTCCACCCTTGAGTTGGATAAATCTTGGCCCTTTATTCAACTTTTAATCCCTTCCTTTCATTTGGCTTAATTTTTAGCCTTTTATCATTCTTTCAATCTAAACCTTCCATCTAGCTTAATTAGAGCCACTTGTTTAAATGAAAGTCAAGCTTAATTAATGCTCCACGAAGAAAAATAATGAGTTTTGGTCCTCCAATTTCTAGAGTTTTCCATTGCCTAATCTTTCATAAATCCTCCCCTCTTACTATTAATCACTTTAAACCGTTCCTTTCAAGTTTTTCTAAGAAATTGTTGACTCCTAAAGTTCATACATAATTTAATTTGAAAGTTCAAGCTAATAATTATATGTAATTAAGTCCCTAATTTTATGCAATTGAGTCCTTAATCCTAAAATTCCATTCCATACCTTTCCAAACTTCAAATTATTTTTATAATAAATTCAAAAACTTTCAAAAATAATTTAATCATCATTTGCATAAGTTTTATACACTTATTTAGGCCTTCAAATTAATTATTTAGTGTAAAAATACACTATTTCCTATAGAAAATATTCCTTATATATAGAAAAATTCATCTAAGTTTATTAAATATTCCTACACATCCTAATTGATTTTTTCTACACCCATTGGATAATTTTCTTATACCTTTAAAGTACTTAAATTAATTAATTTACCTCAAAAACATTATTCATGCACAATAAAGTTCAAATAAAATATTCACAGAATATCAGAAAATTCATCCAACAATATCAAATAATCCAACACCCCTCTAGCAAATATTCGATGTAAATAAAACATTTCTCATGTACGTTTAACATGCTTAAATTAATTATTTCACATAAAAATCATTATTTATGTATCGAAAAATTTATAAAATATTCACTGAATATGAAAAACTTTTTAACTACTCCAAATATGCCATCACCCTTTTAAGATCATTCCATGCTCATTAAATATTTTTCATATGCTTTTAATATTTTTAAATCTATTAAATATCAGTTTTAGTAGGTATCGGATATTATAAATTGCACAATGCCACTTCTCATATTAAAAAAGTTAAGTATTCAAATTAAAATTACACTTCTAGCTATACCACTCAAGAGATTTAGAATCACTATTAAAGAAATCATTTGTTTAACTGAAAAAAAGAAGAAAAAATAAATCAACAGTTCAAGAAAAAAACCTACAGAAAACTACACAATCTCGCTGTATGTGGCCGAGGCAGCAGAGAACATGAGTTGTTAATCACGTTGCTTTTGGTAAATGGCACATGATCATCCAATTCCCGATCCATTTCTTTATGCCAGCTAGACACTGACGGCTAGGTCTTTCTTTTATCTAGCTAGGTCGCCTTTGCATGATAACATGCCAAGAGCATCGTGGTGGGATTGCAAAATTAATATACCAATTACAAACATACATTACCAATGATAACATCATTATGCTATTATTATTATTATTATACATTATTATTAATATTATTATTATACATTATTATTAATATTATACACATAATATAATATAATATAATAGTAGTAATATATATTATGATAATGTGATTATTATATAGCTAGTGATTAAAATAGTTAGGGGTAGGAGTCCTAGTATTGCGTGCTGTAGGGTATGGGCGGTTTAGGTTGGTCCACACAGGCTTTCGAGGGGCCCTCTGATTTTTGTTATTTTGTGAGCAGACAAAAGCAGGGAAGCTTCTTATCCTCCCTGTTGGTTTTCACACAGAACCTTATACATAGAATCTTCAAAAGCCAAAGGAGTTGTTGTATAATATCGTATCCAATATCCCAAATTCATTTATCAACATAAAATACCAAATCTAACCAATCTTTTACATCATAATATTCTTCTAAATTAAGTAAAAATATTTTCCAGATAGGCGCATCAAGGAAAGGACCAATTAAAATTTTAGTGTATTCAGGAAGAGACAAAAAATTAATGAAAGCTGTTTGGGCTATCGAGCGAATGGCAACAGCGTAATACATAGAAAAGTCGAAGGGCTAAATAATGTTACTGTCTCTATCACAAGAGAACAGTGCCTATATAGTTAGATGTCGTAGAAGCCAGCTTAGTTACATGTTGTGCTCTATCTAGTTCTCGATCAACTGGGCTACTATTCCCTCTCCCTCTCTCTTTCTTTTACTATTATATATCATCACAGCAATGGCGCCGATGAGCCTTCCTCCTGGATTTAGGTTCCATCCAACAGATGAAGAGCTTGTTGCTTACTATCTTGATAGAAAAATCAACGGCCGCCCAATTGAACTTGAAATTATCCCAGAGGTTGATCTCTATAAATGTGAGCCATGGGACTTACCAGGTACATATTAATTATATATTCACATGTAATTAATTTGCATATATACTTCCATAATATTTATCATCACCTATGTTCTTAAATATGCTCTTAGTATTCTTTCTGACCTTTTTTTCTTTTCCCTTTTTGGAATGTGATAATTCGCTCAACAGATAAGTCATTTTTACCAAGCAAAGATTTGGAGTGGTATTTTTATAGCCCTAGGGATAAGAAGTACCCTAATGGTTCAAGAACTAACAGGGCCACAAAAGCTGGTTACTGGAAAGCCACTGGGAAAGATAGAGCAGTGAACTCTCAGAAGCGGCCGGTTGGCATGAAGAAGACATTGGTCTACTATAGAGGCAGAGCTCCCCACGGCATAAGAACCAACTGGGTGATGCACGAGTATCGGTTGATCGACTCATTGTGTGGCACGGTAAAATCAAATTTAAAGGTATTGCACTTCCAGTAATGGCTTACTGAACAATTTTTATATGCAGGGACACAAATTTGACCTATTCCATACGTAATGTTCAGAATTATATGTAAATGAATTAATTACGATCATTGATTCACCATGGTGAAGTTGGATCTGTCCCATTTGGTGGTTTTGTGGCACTCACATGTAGACTAGTATTAAGAGGCTATTAGAGCATTAGGGTTTACAAAAAGACTCCTAAATGTCTTTGATTGTCAGTTTTGTGTAAAGATACCGATGAACTTTGCAGTAGAATTACACGCGTATGTAAGAAAGTTTCAGGTCATAGGAAACCCTAGAAACGATGACAGATATAAATTGAAGAGTTTTTTTTTTTTTTTTTTTTCAATCTTTGAATTAAGATGCATGGAGTTGATTAGTGGTTCATGTAAAACTAATTCATATATTAATTTTTTTAGTACTCCATGTAGCTTCTATCACTTCAAATTAAATGATTTAGAAACAATTAATTCAAATGCATTTGATAAGAGCATATTATACACAGGGAGCAGTAACAGTTCAAAGCCAGGACTTTATATGGTCAAGTGTGGAAAAACATCATGGATTGTGCTTCTTTATATGACAGATGGTACACAAATGCAGAGCAGATCTTATCACATTCAATCATTTCTCTTGTGTTTTTATACGCCATTATCATTTTTAGATCTTCTTTTTCCAACTAAATGTTCCTTCTCTTTAATAAAGAATACCTTATCATCAACATGATGATGAAAGAGTCTTTGTTTCAAGACTTTAGATGTACTCACACTATCTTTGTTCTGTTTCTTGTTTCTTTTTCTGCTCTTTGTGATCTTGCTTTTATAGATCTTTGTACACGTCTTTAACAAATTTGATTATTTTTGCACCACAGGATTCCTATGCATTATGCCGCGTTTTCAAGAAAACAATACAAATTCCAAAAAAAATTGAAAAAAATACTGGGAATGAAGAGAAGGATACAGTGTGGGTCTCAGAAGAACAATTACTAGGAGATGACACAAGCGGTATCGAAAGTTCTAAAGGGAGGGAAGCTGAAGGCGAAAATTTCAACAATGACAACTGTAAATTTCCCTCCGAAACATCTTCCTCGGATGTCACTCAAGGAACTCCAATTGAGACTGCAATAGCCGATGATTTACAAGCTCCATTTGCCTCAGATGAAGCCAATAGTTCAGCTAGCATTTATTCAATGGGTGTGGATTTCTCGTCAAATTTAATTCAGGTACATTAATAAGGTTTCTTTTATACATCAATTTAATTTCTTTATGTTATTAGGCTTTTTATTTGGAAACTAGTTAATGTCGGTCCAAAAATTAGTAAGTAATTAATTACTTAATTGCATTATAGATGTCTAAATGTGACATAAAAAGCATAATAGCAAAAAAATTAGGTCACTGCTGGTATGGGCCATACCAAGATTCACATGCAATAATTATCTTCTCTAAGTCATCTTTTTCTGATCATGATATGATTATCTCTTTTGCCAATACCACATTTCCAGCAATATTCTGCTTTATTACTAAAGCTTCATGTTCACACTAGGGAAAATTAATACCATGTGGTTGTGTTTCACACAAAGAGTGAAAGTACAATCCTCGGGCCAATATGTGTTGGAAATGGCCCACAAAACAAGCCCTTTGAGTTTTTTCCTTCTTTTGATCTCAAGTTAAAGCAACAAAAGTTGGAAGCAATGAACTCCCTATCTTTTCCAAAAGCTTCGTTCTAAAAATCTCTCAAACACTGACTCAAATCGTCTTTTTTCACCATCTTCAATAACTTCTTTTGACTGACTCAAACATAATTCAAAGTTCAAACATCTTTCTTCCTGATTTTTCTCTCTGGGTCTACTATATGTGACACATCAATTATCCCTATTTCCAATGCATATGTTTTCCCCCATTTGAATCACATTTTGAATCATTTCTAATTCAAAAGATCAATGGTGCTAGGTTTACTGTTTTAATTAATTATTCAACAATAATGCTCAAAAGGAGTTCAGTTTTCCAACCCGCCGCTGAATTTTTTTTTCTTTCTTTTTTTGGGGACCAATTATTAATCAAACAACATATTATGGATGCAGGATATGCAGATGCCAAACTATTCAAGCTTGCATTATCAATTTCCGTTCCCAGATTTAGAACTAGAAGATTTCCCACAGATTAACATCACTGAGAGTCTGAAGCCATCAAAGCTTGAAATAATCGACGAGTACATGATTTACAAGGATTGCATGAACGGAACATTAGAAGAAATTTTCTCTTTATGTTCCTCTCAAGACAACTCCAATATTGTACTCTCCATGCAAGACTAAGTGCCACTAAGTACGATGACCACAAAGTAACAAAGATTTTTTCATGTTCCTTACAGATATTGTATTACTACTAAAATTCATTTGACACAAATTAAAGGTAGCTAGGATATATTGTGATGGGCTACATAAAGAAAAAAAAAAAAGGTGGGGATCATTTTGCCAACCACAACATGATCAGGTTATACGGACACTTCACCATACAAGGATGGGTCAAGGTATGCCATCATTTCCTTTTCTATAATTTACTTTCCATTTTTTTTCTTTCATACAATTATCCTTGAAACTTCTCGGTCAATTTTGAAAGAAATTGGATAAGCATTAATTTTGTGATGGTGTGCCATTAAGAAATTGGAGTTTCGATTTCCCTGTGGGAGTAAATCAATTGTTTCTACCAAAGTGAAAGAACAGAAAATTTGTCTCTTATAATTTTTAAGTTCGAAAAAACTCCTTCCACTTTTTTTTTTTTTTTTGACGGTTAATTTAGATGGAAGAAGACAATCACATAACTATATTTATGAACAACCGTTACAGGGTGATCCCATCATGGGTGTGAGCCCCTAATCCTCACACAGTAACTTAGGGGACCCAACAATTTTATAATCATGAGAACTTAGAGGTTACCACTGTGTGGGTGCAATGTAATATTCTTATTCCACCAAAATTAAAAATTATAGTTCCATATATTGCCGAATGCAAAATTTAGCTGCTGGGATATGTAACAGAAAAGTCTAAAAAGGGAAAAATGACTTTGGGTAAAACATCGAAAGGGGGAAAGGTGCAATTAGGATTTCGGAGACCCCAGTCCAGCTTCTTTCATTAGCATAGTCAAGGGTTTTCTTTGAAGCCGATCGATGAATGTAATAGAGACATGAGATTGACGTTATCTTAAATGATATGTTTTAAGCTAATAAGCTTGTAATTTAACGAGAAATTTCATCAGAGTGTTTAATAAGTAACAATACAAACTTATTTTACGGGTCTACCATCAAGAGAGATATGAATATAAAGATGAAATTAATATTTAGATTCGTATAAAAATGATGAGAATATGTTTACGTAAACTAAAAAATATATATATTTTTTAATTTTTTTCTCTCTTTATATTTATCTCTCATATAATATAAATATTTAAATACCATAATATTTCTAGCAGTTTAACCACATATTTTGTTTAAAGAGATATAGAATTTGAAATGATGTGAATAAAACCTCAATGCAAGGCAAAGGCTAGAAATCGTAGATACACTAGTATGCGAGTAGTTTGGCTATGATTTTGCGAAGGTTTGTAAATAGAGCTAGGTGACAAATGGTTATCCACACGGAGCAAACTAGCTAGTTAACTGATAATTTATCCATCAATTCATTTAAATTGTTTTACTAAGTTTAACCAAGTTTATTTACGTGAATTAAGATGAATTTTTAACATGCAGGATTTTGATTGTTCAAAATGTTGATACAAGGACTAAAATTTAGTATTTAGTTTTAAAGGGATATAGTTGTTTTTTTTATTTTTTTAATGGATCTTAAAGGTGATGGAGCATTTAACAAGTTTATCTATGTTTAGCAAGATAAGTGATTTGTTAATTTTTTAAAATTCTAAAAATAAAAACAACATCAAAATTATCGAGAAAACCTCAAGTCTGTAATTTTTTATTCGATGACAAATTGTAACTAAAAGTCAAAACGTAACTTAAATACTATGCCTTAAATAACGAAGGATGGAGTAGGAAAGAAATAAATGATCACTAATAAATATATAAATAATCAAAACCTGAACATGATTAATGAAAAATATAAATAGAAAATTTATAATTCCAACAGCGACCTAAGCCTATTCTATGGGTTTTTGAAGTGGATTTTGAAATTAAAAATTATATTTGATGGATATTTCTATCAGCTAAATTTTGAATTAACTTTTCGGACTGATAGGATTTACGTCAATCTAATAACTAAATAAAAAATTATGATATGTTAAAAGATTAGTAATTTTTTCTCTTTTAGATGGTTTTTTTTTAAAAAAAAAACTTCTTTATGTCAATCTGGTGTATAAAATCATTAACTAGCTGCTACGTCAAAACGGATATAATCAGTCATTTGTATTATATTTTTGGCTTAATAAATGTTAGTATCGTATTAATAAGAGAGGCAACGTGGTATATATACTTTCACGAAAAAACATGTGAGAGAAGAATTACATGCATCAACTATTTTTTTTTCTTTTTAACGACCGAAAGAAATTATGTAATAAAAGAGGCACTTTGGCTGGGGCGTATACAAGAAGCTAAAAAATTATAGGCACTCAGTTGAAGCATGCAGCTATAAGATCTCATCCATCGTTTCACAGAAAAAGATAGGGAAAAAAAAAAAGACTGGATTGGAGCACTTTGAAATTGTCTCCCATGACTTTCAACTTCAAGGTGAATAAGTGGTTGGAGGTAAGAAGTTCTATAAATGATCAGGTAAAGGCAAGTCCCATGACTCTGGGTGGGTGTGTAGGAGAAGAATGTAGTTTTAATGGATACAAAAAGACTTGAGAAAACCACACGATAGTAGCCAGACAAGTAACAGAAACCCTATAGGTTCAGCAAAAGGGTTTTGTTCTTATTGAGTGACGGTGAAGGGAAGAAATGGGCTCGTTAAATGAGAGGTATGGCAATTCAAGATTATAAGCCCATTTGAAAGTAATAACAATCGGGGGCCCGTTATTCTACTAGATAGACGGCCTTTTTATCTAGAAAACTACGGTACTTCAAGAGGAGCAAGGTCAAATCTTCTGATAATTCGATTGAGTTACAGACACTTTTCCGTAGATATCCTATATCCGCACTGAAATTACAAAGAACCCACAAAAGATTATTTTGTTATTTCCAAATGGTCTCAGGCAACAATTACTTCTATCGTTTACCTTTTATCTTCTTTTGTATCTCTTGGATTATAAATAATTATCGACGCCTTAAATTTTTTTCATTTTTATCCAACAATTTCACCAAAATGCGTCCAAATAGACACGCAGCGGGCAGGGGATGTAAATAACAGTAAAAGTAAGGGCGTTTTTCTGCTTATGTCTATTTGGAAAATATTTTGGTAAAACTGTTTGGTGAAAAAATCATCATAGAGAAATTCAGAGTAGTTAGGCTGGACAGTGAGTGTCTGTGAAATGGAAACGCCAAGGTTTTTTTTTAAGACGTCAATTTCCAAACTCCAAGATGAATTTCAAGAAAATGAACATAAATAAATAAAGGACCGAATGACTGGTCATCGCCCAGGGCAGTGTGACCGAGCAAGATTTGTGTGAAAGGGCACCTGCAACCTGCAAGTTGGGTCCCAAGGTCATGCGGACCACCTTAGAACACCTTCAAGCAATGGGAACCAGAAAGAGAAATTTATGGGCTGATAACATAAGCTTAAAAAATGGGCCTGATGATGGCTGTAGCACTGTGGACCCAGTTAGTAACTTTGGTACAATAATTATCATGGGAGTGATAGTTAGGCCCAATTAATTAGCTGTAAAGCTGACGAATTCAAATGATTTATATTTATGGGAGTTAATTTTTTTTTTTAAAAAAAAAACCTTAATATGCAGCTAATGATTATGCTGACATTGTATGGGAAAAGTTTGATGTTGTCTTTCTAGTAGACTCAACTTCATAATTCGATTAATTCTTTGTCGTAGTGTGACAATACCATCACTTTCTTTCTTTTTCGCAATGAAGAAAAGCATTATGTTATGTCCATGAAGTAAATATGAGAATAATATTTCTCAAGATATCCCTTTTCTTGAAATCTAATTAAAACAAAACTTATATTTAGTGCATGCAAGTCTTATAGCTATATTCACAGCGGTGCTACAGTAACATTGTTGTAAACTTTTACATGTATTAAATAAAACAAGATGTGAGAATGTTCAACTGGGTTTTTCTCTAACTCCATTAAAAAAAAAAAAAAAAAAATCTTCAACACCACTATAGAAAATGTTAGAATTGGCGGTCAAAATTTACAGCACATTTAGTTTTGCTCCCGGAGGTCAAAACTGAGTATTTGCAGCATATAGCAGCAATATAAACGATAGCTGGAAAGTTTTTACGTGTGCTATACATATGAACTTAATTTCAATGTGCAAAAATTATACGAAAATGAATATAATTTAATAGGATCGTGATTTTTTTCAAAAAAATAGGCATCTTAATTTCAAAGCAATAATTTTCTCATGGGACGGTGGAGAACATGGGTTGGGAGAAATTACTTAAGGTGGTGGCTATTTATATCTCAACATCCAATCAGCATTTTCCAATTTTGACATTAATATGGAATTACTAATTGATATCACAAATAATTTCACACGCAAATATTGTTAGCAAGAAATTGAAGCAATTGTTTACTCCAAATATCTGGGATGCACAACCTACTAGCTAGCAATGTAGCACTAGTTACATACACGCATATGGAGGCCTAAAAGTTCCATGCAATATCATCCATGGAGCTAAGATCTCGACACATCGAACCAGACAGTAAGGTGGAGTCGACAAAATCGAGATCATAGCTAGAGGTGTCAAATGAAGCATCCATACTGTCCTGAACACCTTTATTAATCTTATCAATGGTTTGTGCCTCACAAATCTTGTTCGGCTGGTTTTCTTGCACTTGTGATTGCATACCTTCGAATATTTTTGCTGCTTCAAACGGCTCAACAATGTTATTACCACTCCAAAAGCAATTTTCATCTAAGAGACCAAACCCAGTTGGGTTCACTGAAGACGAAGATGAAGAGGAAATGAGTGTGGTCTCGATGGATGAAAGACAAGGGAAAATGGAAGAAACTTGAGAATTTTGAGCATTTACATTCCAAATGGCACCAGGGTTTTGATAACCAGAGACGGGCAAGGGTAAGCTGGTTGTGGCTTGATCAAGCAATGGAGGTTGAGAGCTGCTAGTAGATGGATAAGGGGAAGGTAGAGTTAGAATAGGAGGGCTTATCTCCATGGAAACATCTTTCATCTTTGAATCCAGAGTGATAATTGAAAAGGGTTGTTGGTTCGATTGTGATATATTGCAGGCAACCTTATTAGCTGCCCTCTGATGAGAAGGGATCAAGTTGTGAGTTTTTGGGTCCAAGCCTTGTGCCATGAGCTTTTTCTTTATGCATGAGTTCCAGAAATTCTTCACCTCGTTGTCTGTCCTTCCTGGGAGATGTTTTGCTATCTGAGCCCATCTGTTGCAGGTATATGGTTAAAGTACTTGTAATGAAAATGCAGTGAAAGTGTATATGAGCCAAGTAATTCTACTTTATTCATGTCATCCAGTGACCAGGAGCGATCTATTGTCTCCATAGTCAGAAACAGTACTGTTTTAACTTTTTTATACACATTTTTATGGAGACTATCCTTACCTGTTGCCCAAAATCCTATGAACATCTATGATGATCTGCTCTTCTTGTGCAGAAAAGGAACCCCTCTTGAGTTCTGGTCTCAAGTAGTTTATCCATCTCAATCGGCAACTCTTACCACACCTTTTTAAACCTGCAAGTACGAAGCAATATCGAACAAGAAATAGATCAGACAGCTTTGATTCTGATTTCTAATTAATTCATGCAGAAAAATGGTATTAACACCCACATATATATACCTGCAAATTTAGGGACAGAACTCCAGCTTCCATGACCTTGGGTGGTGATATATTTGACAAGCTTCTCATCTTCTTCAGGAGACCACAACCCTCTTTTAACTTTCTGTTTGCTGCAGCACCTATGGCCCATCTCTGTTCTCCACTCCCTTCTTCAGTCGATCCACTATACTTCCTGCATCTGCCTTCAGCTAGCTAGCTCGCTATCAAATGCTGAGGAATTAATCTTATCACTCCTCTCACCTGAAAAGTCTCAATTTATATCCAATATGTTTGAATGCTATTAGTAGCAAACTGGATTTATTTAACTAGGCACGACATGTTTTCACATGTACCCAAATTAACCAAAGGGATAATGGTAGAGGGAAAGAAAATATGGTGACTGACAAGTGCATGAATTTCCTAGAAATACAGGCCGGGTGGCACAACATACCTTATTAGGTTATCCAAGTTAGTTTTTCACATGCCTTATTAGGTTATACAAGTTAGCTTTCTTGTACAGATTTTTATTTTTTATAATATTGTTTATATTATAGATAATGTGATATATTTTATATATATTATACAAAATTTTATATATAAATACAATAAGATAATACTATCTAGAATCATGTATTAGTTGTTAGAGAATAATATAAATCACATCCAATTTTAGCTAACAGCTTAAGCTTTTGGATGTAATTATATTTTAATAGTAGTAAATATATTTTTTATATCTTTCTTTTGTTTTCTTTTCTAAAATTGGTATCAAAGCAATTGCATTAATATTGCCTTATGGAAGCCAATCAATCTCACATACTAAACCCCACTGCAATTTCAACACTTGATGGGCAGAACATTACCGCAACAACCTTCAACGAACAACCTTTTATGGCTGCTACTGTTCCAGCAGTCTCTTCTCCGGCAGCCACAATTCGAGCAACCTCTTCTCTGATAGTTTTACAGCAAATAACCTCCTTTATTATTTGCTTATACAATTCCTCTTGCTGAGGCCAACCATTATATCTCACTGAAATTAGTTACAATAAATTATTTGTATTGAAAATTTAAAATGAAACATTTTCTATAAGGTCAAGGGTTATTTGGCTTCGTCAATCGATACAAGCCATATCCACCGTCTTATGTAATAAGCGAACACGCTTCTCTTCTGCAACATAATCTGGCTTTTCTTTTCTTTTTTCCTAAACTCATCCGGATGAACTACTAATCAGTGCCCTGATTGCTTCCTTGTCTCTGAATGTATTTTATGCAATTGTTTTTGGTTTACTCTAAAGCTGCATTGTTTCTTCCAATACTCAAATAATACAACTCTATATGTCACTTCAAGTACTTTATTTGCTAAAATCAAAGTAAATTAATGATGCATTAACTACAGAAGCTCGATCATAATCTGTATCAGTTTCAATCTTCGTGGCTTTAAGAGATTATCCCAGATAATTCAAAAATCTTGTGATCACTTTATCAACTAGAGCTGATGAAATCCAATATGAATTATCTAATATAACATCAGATCATTAAAAAAAGTCAAACAATCTAGAAAAAATATTGAAATTCAAGTCTTCTGACAAGTTTTGAAAAAAAGATGGTAAATGAAAATGAGTGTTAGAGAATTTATCTTATACAAAACAAATAAATAAATAAAATTAAAAACTAGTCATCCACTACAAAACTTTGGTGAGTAGGCCGAATCTGCTTAAGTTATGTATTTTGTTTTGTTAACTTTTTAGGAGATTGATCGAAGGGTCATATATTTAGTTCTACTATTTTCTTAATATATAACAATATTGTTTTGGATTGCGCAAGGATCAGGGCACTAGCCATGCAGGTCCCACTTGAAAAGAGAAAGGAACAAATAAAGGTTAATTGTTTGTGTCAAATTGAGTAGTATTATATATGATTACTTACTAACATTTCTCTAAATAGAATATATATAGGATGAGCCAATTAAAACGTAGAGGAAGGGGTGCTTGATTCTTCAGTTTACGTTTCTATGATGTGGATTCTCATAGTCTAATTTATTCATTATTATGGCCTACATCTAACTGACTTAAGCAGAGACAACATATATGTATATGAAGAAGAATTCAACAAACCCCACAAATTATAAAAGCTAACATATCGGAAATGTGCTGGAATTTAAACTTAAGGTGCACTCATGGCCACTAGGTCTAATTGAGTACGCTGGTGTCCTTCTCTTCAGCTACCCATTGCTATTCCGTCATTTCGTTACAGTTCATCGAACCCAAAAAATGAACAAAAACATGTTATTTCAAGAAGAAGCTAGCTTTTCTTATGATTTGCTTTGCCTGGGGCGAACATAAACTTCTACTTCCAAAATTATCTTTGTGCTTTATTAGATTATATATTCGTTGTTTAGTTTTTACTTTTTGCAACTAAAAGACTAAGTCCATCGATCCTATTTAGTCGAGCACAAACTACTAAAGCTTTTAACCAAATTAGCTAGGATTCGTCAATTTGGCCCCCAGTCATGCGTTTATTTATTTATTACGACACTATAATAAGAGTAAATTATAAATTAGTCTTTCTTATTTAAAAAAATGAATGAATTAATTTTTTTTCATTTTAAAAATAAATCATTTAGTGTTTCATATTTTAATTTTATTAATAACTTAGTTTTTTTTTTGTTAGTTTTGTATCACAGTGGTAATGACGTGTTTTACCGTGGTGCTTTTTGTTTTCAAAGTATATCTTCTTTTTTTATGCATTATTTTTCTTCTTCTCACTTTCTCTCTCTTCAAGTACTAAAAATACATTTCTCTCCTCAAACCTCCACTTTCCATTGTATTAATCTTCATTTTCTTTTTCTCTCCTCAAACATATGCGTGTGTACATTTCTCTCCTCAAACCTCCACTTTTTATTATATTAATCTTCATTTTCTTTTTCTCTCCTCAATCATATATATATATATATATATAACTGTTCATTTGATAGTAAAAATTTAAAAATAAGAAAATTAGATAATTAATTTTTTAAATAAGGAGAATTAATTTGCTTATCGAAACAAGAGTGACTAATGTATAATAAACTCACAGTAATAATGACGTCTATGTTTTAGCTTAATTTCCTAACTATTTGAGAGGTATATATATATATATATATATGAGATATATATGAGAGTCTGCTGCATGGAATCCTTTTTGTGTTTTAGTTGCCATCTTGTATTTTTATTTTATTTGTTTATGAATTTGATGAGATACGAGTGTATTAAGTATTGGGATTCGAGTATTGCTCTCTTTGTTATTTGTGTCTGCTGAAATCTTATCAGTGTTTCCATAAATTTTGCTTGAGATAGTATGTGTTTGTAACAGAAAAATTATTTTATATGTTTAGTCATCGAGATTACACATAGGAAAAAACTGAATGATTAGGATCTTTTCGTTTTTCTAAGAATAATTTATTTTGTTATCTAGTGGTGTGCTCACGCAACACAAATTCTCTTCAAATGAAGCCATATAATCTTTATTTTTCTTTTAAAATTAAAATCACAATCTCTGTCAAAACCATGAAAAAGAATAAAGAAAACTAAAACGAAAATATAGATGCGACCCTTTTTCGCCGAAAATAAAATGCGCTCTTCATTGAGTCTCCTAGCTATCTTCCCAAGAAACTTGACCAAATTACGTCTTTCATTGTCTCAACATCTTCTAAGAATAAATTATAAATTATTCTCTCTTGTTTAAAGAAACAAATTAGTTAATTTTTATTTTTTAAAAAAATTAATTATTTAATTCTTACGTTTTAATTTCATCAACAATTTATTTTTTTATTAGTTTTTTAATTAAATTAATGATTTTTATTTCTAAATTGCCTTTTTTATTGAGAAGAATGAAAAAAATATGTGAAAAAAAATAAGACATAAAAAAAGATAATTTGAGAAAAAATCATTAATTTAATGAAAAATTAATGAAATTTAATGACGAAATTGAAATATAAATAAATGATTAGTTTTTAAAATAAAAGGATTAATTGATTTATTTCTTGAAATGATAGAAACTAATTAATAATTTACTCAACCTTTAATCTTTCTTAATTTTTTTTAATAGGTTCATATAATAATTATAGCCTATTATCAATCTCCTCCTTAATAAATCGGTTTTAAAGGAGTAGCCTGGTTGATTAATAGGCAGGAATGGCAATTTGCCCCGCCTCAATGGAGCCTCGCCATGGTCAACGTGTGGATTCCCCGCGTTGACGGGGCGGGCAGTGGCACCCTTGAATGGAGATGGGGCGAGGACGGTATTTGTCGGCCCCATCCCATTTGCCTCATTTCATGATCTTCATTTCTAAAATTATAATTATACCTTATATAAAATCCGTGACTAATGACTTTTAGTGTTTATTTTTTATATGAACTATCATTTTTTTTTTTTTGCTATAGTTTGACATTTGGTAGTAGAATAGGATAAAATGAGACGAAAAAAAATTTAATAATTTTTTTATCCCGTTTATCGCATAAGTACCCCACGAGGATCTCCATCCCCGTTTAGGATAGAGATGGTATAACAAATTTTGCCCCGTTCGACGTACCGGAAGGGAATGGGGCAAACTTTTTAAAGGCGAAGCGAGGACTGGGATGGCGATCCCCGCCCCCGCCCCAATGGCTACCCTATTGCCATCCCTATTAGTAGGTTTGCCTCTTATATTATTATCTAAAATTCAAATCTTAAAAAACCGTAAGATTTATGAATAATTGGTGGAAATAACCTACGTACGCAAGACTTGAGCAAAGAAGCATTTAGTCTCTATGAGCTGAAAATGTTTGTCCCAAGATAAAACAAAAAAAAAATCAATCTTTACTGTACACGAATTCTATCTTCATGGTCAATTAGAGTTAGTTGATTGTTTCAAGTAATTTATTGACTCAAGAAATACCCTGTCTTGGCAACTTTAATTAGTAATCAATATTGACTATTCGTGATATGGCTTTACTAATTTTCTGAAATGCTTTACTTGTAACCATGATTTGTAATTTTTCCAAGCAAATAACACCAGCAAGAATGCTGTTTTATGGCTTTAGTAGTCATCGTTTTCTCTATTTTTTAATATATAAAATCGTTGGCGTTTCGCAGTTGATTGAAGAAATACATTTAACAAGGATGTGCATGAATTGAGGTCTAGAAGCTTGAAAGCAACTTATCCACTGTTTAATCAGACAAAGAAATAGTATTAAATTCAGGCATTACATTTTCGAGTGTTGAGGAATAGATTTTTGTATTAGTTTATAGGCAAAAATAACAGTTTTTCAACCCTAATGCTCAAGTAAGCTCGGCAAATGAAGTGTTGTTGTGGAAAAAGAAGCTTACACTTCAAAGTTCAACCTACTCTATACTTTAACATAAGCTAAGCACGTTAATCTTCAATGGCTTGACTAATTTGATTTTACGAGTTGCATTATGGTATGGCAAATGCTTATTATATAAGATTTCGATAATTAATACTTCATCAAATATTGTACATTGATGGAACCACTTTGGCATGTAGCAATTACACACCCACAAACATAATGGCAGGGAAAGTAATTCCTTTCAATTTTTGAGCTTTAATTGTATGCGTCTGTTTATGTCCTTTTTCTTTTTTTCCTTTTTTTTTTAAAAAATGTTTAAATACAGTTTTACCCTTAAAAAGTGAGGAGAGATTTTGCCCATAATGATAGACAGGTCATACAAAATTAATATTTAATTTTTTTATAATTCAAAAAACAATCATTCTTCTATTATAAAAAAAATGATAATAATAATAGAATTAAAAAGAAAAATGATAAAAAAAATAAATTGATTATTAAATGAAATGAATACGAGAGATAACAACTCTAAATAATTCTCTCAATCTCTACAAAATACTTGTACCTAAACTAATGAACAATCAAACATGTTTATAAGCTTTAAGATTAGGACGAAAATTGGAAGGGACTCCGAACCATTAAAAAATATATAAATAATTTAATAAATTATATCATTTTTTCAATTTCTCATATTGAAAGATGAATTGAATCATATGAACAATGGAGAATATGAAATGAACATTTATTATTTCATAACATCTTCAATCATTTTTAGTGGATATAAATTGATTTTAATTAATTTTAAAACTAAGAGTTTCTAATATTGCACTTTTTTTTTTTAAAAAAAAACAAAACAGATATAAACTTTATGGTGATTACAAAGAGATGTGAAAAATAGAACTTAAACCATGAACTTCATGTTCCAAGTTCAAAACTTCTACCACTTAACCATTGACTGCAATTAAGATCAACATTTAATGGTTTACAGAAGGAGTGGAAGAGAGATTTGGTAGGACTATATTTTTTTTTCATGCACATTTTTTTTTCTTTTTTTAAAAGAAATTATTATCCGCTCCCTTAATTTTTCTTAATCGCTTTAGAGATCTCTATTTATGATGTACAAGAGCCACTGCTACAAGAAAACTATTTCTTAAATTTTTGTATGGCCTCTAATGGAATTAACTTGTTTTTAATTTTTTTAAAAAACTATTTCTGGTTGAAATTAAGATTTATTTATTTATTTATGGAAGAGTAAGATTATACAAGCATAAAAATTGTATAAAAAAATCTTACTAACACCAACAACAATTAAGCTGCGTTTGTACCGAGTGAAAATTTTGAAGAATAAATGTTAATTGCAAACCTACTAACTCTTCCTCTCCCCTAAAAAATTACCAAATAAGGTTAGAGACAGTAAAATGTTAAGGGGATAACATGATCATCTTATCCCTTTAACCTAAAACCAAAACATAACCTTGATGTAACGAATTTTTTCATGCGTGAATTAATTAACTATAAATTTATGTTATGTTGGATCCAATTGTAATTCGAATTTTACTTTGCATTCTTTCAAGTACCAATAGTTAAAGACAACATGTTTAGATCAAATGCTTCAACAAATAATTTGTATTTTTATATATATAATTATAAATTGAACATTAAAAAAAACATTTAAAACTGACGTATTTCATCAAAACACTTACAATCATAACCACATCGGAAACGTAGTCTTTTAGTTTTGCGGACCCTAAATGATTATAACGTGTGCGACCGATTATTCACTTGTATTTTGGTTCTTACCCGTAGATTTAGCATGCACTTGAAATAACGTACTCGTCAATTGCTTTTTCCTTTTCTTCTCAAAAGATGGACTCGGTAATCCTGGCTTAAAGAATAGCTAGAATGGAAGCCCGTGGCAATATTAAACAAGGGTCCAACAGAGCACGGCCAATGTTTAGTGGACCTAGAGGGCTTGAAAAGGGCAAATTACCATGTAATTAAATTAAATTAGCACGGCCTAGGTTTAGTGGACCTGGATCTAGACCTAGAGAGGCCAGATGACACTTCATAATAATTTCTAATTTTTGTTGGTTTAATAGCAAATTTTTCCCTAATACATTTCGATTTGAAAATTTTAAATTTATAATATCAAATCTTGTAATAAAAATTTCAAAATATTAAAAAATTACATAAATATAATTCAAATTGTATAATTTTCGTTATGTGTAACGATGAGTTGATCGTTGCTTGGGATTTCAAAACGATATCATTTTAACATTTCACTATTAATTTTTTTTAAAAAAATATTTTTAACTTCATGATCTGAAATTTTTTAAAAAACTTTTTTCTTATTTTATAAATTATATAAAAACTATTTTATAAATATATTTAACCCCTTGATTTTGAATTTTTTTAACTTTTTTTTATAAAACATTATAAATTTTTTATATATAAAATTTATAAAATCAAGGGAGGTCAATCCTTAATTATAGTCATTTTAATTTATAAAATATTTTTTTAAGGTTTCAAATTGTGTATTATTAATTATGTTTTTTTACAATATTTTATAAAAAAATTTAAAATTTATGGTTAATATATACAATTTATAATATTTTACAAAAAAAAATTAAGACTAGAGAGTTAAAAATATTTTAAAATATTTTTTTAAATCATAATTAACAGTGAAATGTTAAAATGAAATCGCTTTAATATTTTAAGTAATAATCAATCCAACTCAATTGATTAATACATATAACTAAAATTAGATAGTTTAAATTATATCTATTTAATTTTTAATATTTTAAAATTTAAATTATATAATTTATACAATATGTCGAAATTTTCATATGGCAAAATTTGATACAATAGCATACGGACAAAATTTGCCGTTAAATCAATTTTTGTTAGTGCTTGAGTAGACGACGAAACAAACCAAACAGACAAGAACAGAGAAAGGACAAGTTCATGGTGATTAGACAGGGCCTGCTTCAGTTCCTTCTTGCAACTCTTGGTGTCTTTTTCGCCATATGGCGGCTGGCAGTCGAGAAGATAAGCTTGAGTTTATAAAGAAAATTGTATCATTTTAAAACTCCCTTATATGTCAATTTGTATTTTCCAATATCTACATTAATAAAGAAAAAGAAAAATTTTTAATTGTTAAAAGTTACTGAAATTTTTTTCCAATCATTTTTTTTATATAAAAAAAGGACGAGCACGTATACGTTTTTAGAGTATTAATTAACCTAATTTAGTTTTTCTTCTTGGAAACAAATTTATTGTAAGTGCCAGCCAAAAGTTTTGTCCATCTTAATCATGTAAGAACAATATATTATTCCCTACACATGACAAATATCATTTCAATAATGGCTATTTGCTTGATTAACAAAACGAAGTTATACACACGGAATCTTCTCAAAGGAAGACAAATTTCATTACAAGTCCATTTGCAAAGCACAACAAATCATTTCACTAGTGGCAACTTGCAAAACCAACAACTTCGGTTATGCAAGATCAATTCAACCATTTATCATCTCAATAAACGATACAAGTCTGTACTGATTATTTACCAAGACAAATTGGTGGTTTGATATTATTACACCATTAAGCCAACCAGCCAAGACAAAAATAAATTTTAATTCTAGATGCGAGTCGCCCCAATACAGGTAGATCTTTCTTTGTACTCTTCTTCGTCCATGGTGTCACAAAGTGTTTTACCTCTCGTCTCTGGCAAGCATATCACAAACAACCCACAGAGCCCAATCACCAACCCAAATATCCCATAAGACATAAACCCATTTTTACTTCCAGCAGCCACTAATAATGGACTGAACATACCCCCAAATACAAGAGATTGTCTAGCCATTGATATTGCCGAATTCCTCACACATGTAGGGAATAACTCCAGTGTGTATATTAACGAAACGTTGAATGCTGTGCATGCACTAAAAAAAGATACTAGCTCCAGTCCCATTTGTAAATTTGCAGATGTCTCGCCCATCACAACAGAAAATATGCTACATACCCCACTTAGAGCAGTGAACACCAGCAGGGAATCTTTTCTATTTAGTTTGTCCACGAGGAAGAATGTCACTAATGAGGATGGTAGCTCTGACAAGGCATTAAATGTGACACTCAAGTAGAGATTGAATGACAAATTTCCAAGGCCTAATGGCATGCCGTAATACACCAATCCAATACCAAATGCCACTGCCATAACAGTCACTAGTCTTCTACAAGCCCACTTTTTCTTCAAGAGAATCTTGATTGCTGAATAAGTATCAACATTCCATGACTCTTGCCCGAATTCCAAATTTGAGAAGCTCATTAGTACGCCACTACTCTTAGCCGTTGCGATACTCTTCAGTATCGACACAGCTTCTTGTTTACGTCCACGAACGAAAAGCCATCTTGGAGACTCTCGAACCAAGAAATGAACTAATATGCAGTAGAAAATTGTTGGTATAGAAGTCCACAGATAAAGATTTCTCCAAGAGGAACCTCTGTTTATATATGCAAAAGCCGGTAACGTTAAAAACCCTAACGTGAAACAAAAGAAACCGATAACTCCTACCTGACCTCGCCAACGTTTCCCTACAAGCTCAGTTGATAACACAAGGGCACATGTTCCAATTGTTGCACGACCGAAACCGTTGACAAATTTCAAGGCTGAGTAGATCCATATATTGTTGGCGAAGACAGTGAGTAATCCAGATAAAGACATCATTATACATGATAGAAATAGCAGATTCTTGCGACCAAGGAAGGAATCAGCAAGTGTGGCTAGAATTAGTCCTCCAATAAGGCACCCCATGAAGAATGAAGATGCAGGTAGGCCTTTGATTATTGAAGTAGCACATTGAAGTCCCCATTCTGATATGATTGATGTGTCATTAGGCCTATCCCAAGCCCATGAATTTTGAGGAATTTGGCAAATGTCGGAGACTGAAGTACATGAATGAGTACTTGTGTAGTGCCACGTTGGCTGGGCATCAGTGAAAACACTAATGAATGTTTGTTGTGCATCAAACACCCATGCAAATGACACAAGGATGGCTTGGAGGAGTTGGCCAAGCCCAAATTCTCCAATGCAATGTTCGATGGTTTCATCTAGGGAGGGAGGTTGTTTTGACTCATTTGAAGAGTCTGATCGAGAGAGAAGAAGTGGAGTTGAATCTGCCATAATTTAGTTACAATAGCTCAAACACCTTAATTTCACGGGTTTTAGGTTTAGAAGAGGCAGAGTTTTATAGGGGCCTAATTGGCTAGTGCATATATATCGGAAGAAAAAGGATGCATATAAGAGGAGTGGAGTACTCTTAAAAATATTGATCATGAGTTAAAGAGAGTTGCTACAAGACTGTAACATGATTATTAATTACCGGAAGAAAAAGGATGCATATAAGAACTAAGAAGGTTAATTGTACCTATCCATTGTCTAGAATGATCCATGGCGTCACCCATGAGTTGCTCTGGCACATAGTTATGATATTGCCATGTGCAGTTCTCCGTCACACTCATATTTATTCGTGAAGTGTCCAAATAGCGAAAAAGAAAAAGACGTGCCTGTGATATCTCAGGATCGTTCATTTGTTTTACCTCAGTTACTACATTTTATACCAGAAAGGATCAATTTTATTCAAAATAAAATTTAATATTTTTTAACAAATATGTTTTTATGATTTTAAAATTATATTTTTAATTTTAACGAAAAAAATTATCTAGATACCAACTCAACTCACTCATTATCAAATCAACAACTTATTAATCTTGAATCAGTCGTTTTATACACTTTTTTTTTTAATTTTTATGTAGAACAAATGTTTGAAATTGAATCTAATAAAATCCGAGTATTTGTTCCTATATATATATGGAGACAAATTACCTGAGAATATTTAAATTTGGACGCGGTCGTCCTGTGATGTGTATCCATGTCATGGATACTATGGGCGTTCCATTAAGTTATTGAAAAATTATAGTATGCATGGAATATTTCATCAACGGTATGCTGGTCTGTGGGGTAGAGGTGTCTGTCCAACTCAGGAATTGATAATTAATAATCATCATAATGCCAGTAATAAGATTATGTACGTACAGCTTTTTCTTTTCCTGGCGTTAGATGTATATATATGGTAAATTAAGTTTTTTTTTTTTTTTTCATCTAGCTAGTCAGTGATTATTAATAAGACAAATAATAAGATTATATGTTTTATTTTCCTGGGATTTAGATAGATAGTTAATTAATTTGGAATTAGTCAAATGCCCATGAATTATAGGAATGGTCCAATTTTAATCATGTATGACAAGTTTCTATGCGACCATCTCAGCATTTTGTTTCACGATAATTACCCATGCATTGTGTTAGTCAATGTATTCTATATTGTTCTCATTGTGTTTACGCATGAGTAATATCAAACCTTAATCCATTTACTGCATTTAATTCCAAACTTATTTTAAAAACTGCATCATTAAAAAAGTTACAATAAAAAAATTTAACGATACGCATAGATGTAATATATTTTACATTCTCAACACATATTCAATTTAAATATTTAATTCTTATCAAGTTTTGAAAGAAATATTACAAATTTTATTACATGATTTAATATTTTTATTAAGATAGGGCCTAATTAAAAAATAATAAGAGTATACATGATACTTAATTTAATTGATATATTTTTAAACAATTTTTTGAATTACAGATCATTCCTTATATATATATATTGGTTTTTCTCTTAAAAATTGTTAATTTTTAATTTTTGATTTGTTATTTTTTATTACACGCATATGGTAAAAGGTACAATTTTATGTTGTTAATTTCCAAGACATGGCAAGTCATTATTAGCAAGTACTTAGATCTCTTGTAAATATACATGCAAGTCCACATATCTATATATACCATATTACCCTCTAAATTTTTTTTTTGCTTTTATTTTATTAGCATAATTATTTAGATTAGATATACCTAGAAGAAGATTGACATAATTCACAATTTCATATTGTTATCCCGCCTCTACAAAGTATTTATCGAATTTTAACCACTTTAGCTCAGCAAACAATAATAGTATTTTTGTTTCCTTTTGATGGCTCAAAAAAAAAAAAAAAAAGGACTTCAATCCAAATACCTCACTCTCCCTCGTTTAACATCATTCTTTGATTTTTTTAATTTCAAACTTTTGAACCAGTATTCAAGAGATTTTATTCAAATTCTTTTTACTGTACCCTATTAATTTAAAGGATGTGCTTTTATAATCACTTCGAAAAAGAATTTAATCTCGATTTTCGTTCAAATTGAATAAAAATACTCTTATCGTAGAAAAAATTAATAAATACACAAATAAACGGAACGAAATTTAAGAACATAGAATAGACCAATTAATAGGTCTGTCAATTAAAAATATGAGTACATTCTAGTTTTCAATAACTGCACGTGTTTAATTATTTATTATTTTTTTGGTAAAAAAAAGAAAGATAACTATTTTATCTTACACTCTCAGATAGCGAATATTACTTTCCCTACCACATTAAAAGTTTTTAATTATATTGAAGAGGTTGTTAATATCTACTTACCTCGTATTCTCGTCAGATTTTTAATTAATTAAAAATCCTGCATACAATAGAAACATGTTGGATTATATATTTTAATATATTGAATTAATGAATCATGTTAGCGATGGTAAAAAAGAAAAAAGAATCATATTTATTCTCAACAAAGAATACGATACAAAATATTTATATTAATTATAATAATATTAAACTAAAAATTAATTTTCATAAATTTGTGTCATATATATATGTGCTGGGCAAGAATGATACCTTTTGTGTGTAATAGTTTTATAAAATAGGTTCAAATGATTCTATTAAGAGTTAATTAATTTGATTAATTTGATGGCAATAATAATTATTACATTGCTAATAATTCACAGGCTATATAGCACGAATGATACAATTAACGACTGATTAGTAAAGGTGTTATACCAAAAATTTATATTACTTATAAAGTAATTATCAATATTTACTTTATAACAAAGAAATAAATATAAAAATAAATAAATTAAACAATGAATGAAATTGAAAATTTCTTATCATTTTTTTAACTCGGATATATAAAAATAATAATAACTATTATTGGTGTATATAGAATAATTACCATTCTTTTTTTTTTGGCATAATGCAATTCTGTCTTTTGTCGATTAATCATTTGCGTCTATAATTGCGCTAACATGATACATACACAATCCACGGGACCATTTTGCCCAGACTTGATAAAACCAGTAAAATTATTACGATGGCTACTTGATTTGGCACAGATATTCCAAAATTTGCAAATTTAATTATGCAAAATATGGTATACAAGCTGAATTAGAATCCATTTGCGTGCAGCTGGAAACTTCATCGGCAATGCAAGTCATTTTGACAGGCTCAAAACTGGCAACAACAATGGCTTTCAGCTTTTTATCCTGTTTCGCCATCATTATTGATGTAAAGCTGTGAAAGAAATTATTTTTAATGCAACAATTTTATTATATTATAAGCAAAGTAATACAATAGTGGTTGAGCTGAGAGCAACCAGCTACCTCCGTTTCGGCTTTTGTTCATATAATATTCTGGAATGGCAGGCACTGGAGCTAGATAATATCGCCCAGGTGGCGGATGACTCATAACATCTCTTAGTGTCCATAAGCAAACTTATCACTACAGCATCTAGCAAGCCGGGAACTTTGACGAGTTATGACTATGAATTGGCATGCGTTATAGTTCAAGTGGTTCACGAATAAAACATATATAACTTTTCCATAATAGTTGGAGCTGTCCCCCATTTTTCTTGTCATAACACAAAAATTACACCCCACCCCCCCCCCCCCCCCCCACATTTTTTTTGTTGTTTATTTGTTTCTTGTTTTAGTTTTATTTCATTTCATTTCATTTTTACTTTATTTTGAAATTTACCACAAAAAAAATAGAAAAAGAATAAAAAATATATAAAATACAAAATTTAAAAAGAATTATTAATTACGTCGGAGTACAATTGAATCAATAAAAATAAAATTGAGGCAATTAAGGATGCAACTGAATCAACTGGAAAGTTGAGAATCGAAATTACAATTTACAGAGACCCAATTGAAAAATAATATAATTTAAAGGGACCAAAATTGCATATAAAAAGGACATGATTGCAGACAATCGAAAGGTCCGGGGACCAAATTGAAACTTGGGAGCTACCAACAAGACCCAAATCTCGTTCGCTCCAACCCAGAATCAATTCCTATGTTCGTCTTCCATCTTTTCCTTTGAGATAAAATTCTCCAAATTTGTCTATTCATCACTGTGATTCTTGGCTGCCAATTGTATCAGCCAAGTATCACACCACTCTGCTCCATTACACCGCTATGCACCACTACACCACACCTCTGCATTACTCTTCACACACACACGCACGTTTACCCCATTTCGTTTGTTTGTTCACATAAGGCCAAAACCCGATACTGGGTTTTTGACTCTTGCAACAGGCAATTCGTACCATTGAAATGATCCAAGGGTGGGGAAATGGCAATAGCTGCCTATAAATAGGTTGGAAATTGAGGAAACAAGGAAGAAGGGGATGGGGGAGGGAAAATAGAAATTGAACAGAAGGATTTCAGAGGAAAATTGAGAAGAGAAATTGGAGAGCGATTCTGGGCAATTCTGAGGTAGTCTCTGAAGGAGAATTTCTGGGTTTCAAAGGGATTTTCTAGTTTTTCTTTTGTGGGTTCTTCCAAAGGCTTTCTAGGTTTAGGCTGTTCCTGAGTTTGGACGAAGAACAGCTGGGAGAGAGCAAGCAGAAGGAACTTTCCCCTCACTGTCATTTTTTTACCCTCGATTAAGCAAATCAGGTAAATTTACTACTTTTCCTTTCGTTATTCGATTCAAATCATCACCCCCTTGCCTCTGGTTTGTTCAAAAAGCAACGATGGCAGTGACTTCAACCAACATGCATGACCCGGTTTCTTCATGTTTGAGAGAGGAGAAAGGAAGTAGAAAAGTTCCTGGGTTTTCTGTGTGCAAGACGGTGATGGAGAGATAGGGGAACGAGAGACGAACGAGAGAGAGATGGAGTGAATTGGGGGTCGATTCTGAGAGTAAAGAAAAACTGGCTTAAAAGGAGGAGATTGTTTTCGATCTCAGTAGAGGTTTGTGTTTTTG